AGATAAACGCAATCCATTTGGCGGAAAGAAAGGCCGGTCGAATCGATCGATTCGACTGGAAATCGTTACACGCGCGTGTCTGCGTGGACGACGTGTCGGAACGGAAGCCGCCTAACGGGGAGAATCGCTCTTCCAGGATCTAGCGCATACGTTGCATGCTCGCGTTTCCCGGAAGTTGCTTTCCACCGTAGGCGTGCATCCTGACGTCGCACGACGCTCGCCCCAGTATTCCTTTCGATGCGTTATCGAAATTCCGAAATGGATAGCTAGCTAGCTAGCTAGCTAGCTTGTGTTCGAGCGTTATTATCCGTTCGGAATAACCACGCTCTCTCTTCCTCTCGACGCTTTTCCGATGAGCCGTAAACGCCAAGTATCGAGAAAACGTTTCACGAGTTTGCTCGCGGAATTTTTAATAAGGTCGACCTAATTATCCCGTTATACAAGAACTTCAAACTATACTTACACACACGCACGCACGCGCGCACACACACACATATTTATTTATATATTTATATATGTATGTATAGTTTGAAGTTTATTGTTCTATTTAAAAAAGCAAAGTTATTTTTTCCCCTCCCGCTTCCGCCAAGAGTAATTAAAACAAACGTCGACGTCGCGTAACAAAGAATCAAAAAGTCGAAAAGTCAGAATTTCCAGAGAGGTTCAACTGGTGCTCCTAAATAATTACCATTCGTTAGCGTGCAGATTACGGCAGTTGCGGTCAAGTGGATTCTTGACCTAGTCCCGTTTTCTCCTGGTAATTGCGCCGCGAAGAGAAAGAAAGAAAGAAAGAAAGAAAAAAGAAAAACGCTAATCTCTCGGTTAAAAACCGAATAACGCGCGTTATGCGAAACCAACGAAAGGCATTCATGCCTGGGTCGCGAAATCGACGCCACGCTTGAGCGAAAAAGAATGAAGAAAGAAAAGGAAAGAAAAAGACAAAAGAAACAGAGGCAGAGCCGATCGAAATGAGAGCACGGTCGGCACGGCCGTTGGATTTACTACTGGGTACGAGCGAGATGCGTCGTGATGGAGAGACGAGGGAAAAAAAGAAACATAAAGATGGAAATGACGTGTGGCGCGTCATCCAGATGATTTTGTTTTCTCTACGTCTACGGCCGCTGGTCTTACTTTTTCGCTGGGGTCGAGCGCACGTTCTTCAGCTCCATCTCTTTGTTCGCCGCGTTGTTCTTCTCGGCGTTGTCCTGCGCGTTTGGCGACGAGTTTTGCGGATTCAGAGGTCTGGTCACCGGGAGCGTCGCCGTGTTGTCCGCAGCGGCTGCCTCCACCTCCACAGTGGCGACCTTGCAATCACCACCACCCACCATCGCGGATTTCTTCTCGCTTCACAATGGACCCTAACGGGATCGGCAAAAGCAATCGGGCTGGATCTCACCACGGGAATATTATACCTGCCAGACCGGGATCTTTCTCCTATCCGAAAAGAGATATCCAAAACGCGGTACTCGCACACTCCTGAACACGGAAGTTCTTCGACTCGACTACCACACAGCCGCCATTTTGGCGAACGCCAATATCGAGCACCTGAGAAATAGTTTCAACGGAAGAATCCTTCCCTCGGGGACCCACGGACTCGAAAACGCAAACGTGTCGACTAACACTCTACTACTGTCTAGTGGCTGATGAACGCTGGTGAACAAAAAGAGAAATCGAATCGAACGGAAGCGGATGGGGGCGCGACGCGCCAGCGAGACGACTCCACGGATGGAGGATTTCGAGACACCATTTCCGAAAACGAGGGCAGCAGGCGCGAGTCAAAAACTCTCTCTCTCCCCAAATTGTTGCTGTCTGTTTATTCGATTCCGCGGATCACGCGCCTGCGCGCTGAGTCCCGTGGACTTTTCGCTGGCAAAGATCGCTCTTGGAGCGTGCCCACCTCCCGCGCCTCACCTCGCCCCTCGCGAAGGACGATCAGATGAATGATAGTGTACGAGCTTTAACGAGATACGTACAGATATGTATGAGAGCGGTAGTAGTAGGACCTTCTCGAGGGTTCTCTGGCTCTCTCCTCTCTGGCAAAAGATATCTCAACAAAGAACGCCTTTTCTTCCACGGAGGAGATTTATCGACCTGTGTAGCCGACCAGTCTCGTTTGAACTGAGAGAGAAAAGAGGTCGGGGCAGAGAGAAGGGGGGGGGGACGAAATTTTGGAGCTGGATCAGAAGCGCGAAAAAACAAAGCGTACAGAAGAGAAGAGAAGAGAAGAGAAGAGAATGAGAACGAGAGGAAAGAGGATGACAGAAGGGAACGACGGGTGAGAGTTGGGAAAGAAGGAATGAAGGAGGTCGGGGAGGAACGAATCTGTGGACCACCCCAAAGGTTTCCTCTCTTTCTCTCTCTCTCTCTCTCTCTCTCTCTCTCTCTGATCCCGCGCACTTAGTTGAACGAGCTAATGGAAAATCGCGTGCACACGACCGAACTTGAAGCTGGGAGGATGGAGAGCACTCTCGCTCCGATGACTGATGACGAGCACGACGACAGACGACGGCCGATGTGGCGACAGGCGACAGGCGACGAGCGACGAGCGACCGGCGACAGGCGATGAGCAACGCGCGGCCACGATTACCAAGCCGAGTGCAATGCACACACCTCGGCGAACGCCGACGTACCGACGAAACGAACCAACCACGACGGACCAACGAACGAATCAACCAACTATCCAGTCACCGAGTGCGCGACCAAGAAGGCTCACCTGCTGGAGAGGCGGTTGGCTGAAGGTTCTCGCGGTGACTGCACCCAGGGTTCGGCGGAAAAGGGTGTGAAGCGGAGAGACGGAGAAGGGATGGAGGATGGAAGGTCGGCGAGAGAAAGAGGAAGTTGTGATGCTGATCGGAGAGGAGAGGGGACGAGGGCTAGGCGCAGACACGGAGAACGGGGATAAAGAGAGTGAGAGAGAGTGAGAGAGATAGACGGGATTTGTAAGTCGCGCACCGAACGTAGAATCGGGGAGGAAGAAGAAAGTGAGAATGGAAGAGTGAAAGATAAAGATAGATGTAGAGGAGGAGAAGGAGGAGAAAGAGAGAGAGAGAGAGAGAGAGAGA